ATACTGGTATATGGCAAAATGTTAAAAATTACTATATCTAGATTGTTGGTATGCAGAATGTCATTGTATTATTGTTAGTCTCTTCTGTAGATATATTTTCATAATAAAATACTGGAAAAATCAAAGGAGAAAACATTATATAGCCAATAAGGATGCTGAGAAAATGGAATGTCCTTATAAAAATGTATTTCCTATTTCACCTTTTGGAAGAAAATAAGAAAAATGTATACAGTATCTTTAGAAGAAAAATGATCGCTACTTTCTTGGATTAAGGAAGTATTTCCTTAATACTTGAACTCAGATCTGGAACAAGTAAACTTAATAAACATTTATAGAACTCTCCACTTTAAACACACAAGACATGCACTCTTACCAGCACCACATCACACCTACTCACAGGTTTAAATGAAATATTGGTTGGCCATTATTAAGCATAACTGATGGTATAAGGGAGGTTTTCAATACTCATTTTTAGACTGCATTCTAGCCTGGGCAATTAAGTAACACTCCCGTTCTCTCTCCCTCTTTCTCTTCCTCTTTTTTCCTCTTCTTCATTCCTTTTTTTTTCTTTCTTTCTCCTTTTCCTTTTTCTCTTTTTTTTAAAAGAGCAAATAAATAAATAGGAAGTATTTCTTAAATAAGGCACAGGGCATAATTCATGAGACAAATACTGGCAAACTTGATTTCACTAAATTAAAGGTACATGTGTGAATAAAAGGTGCCAAAACAAAGTAAAAAGTCAGGGAGATTAGCTGGTATAACCCAGAAAAATTAGTATCTCATAAATATAAGGAACTCATGTCTATCAATAAAAAAGATGAGTAGAAAAATGTGCATATGATATTAACAGAAAAATCTACCCTCAGAGAAGAAGCTCAAACATCCCCAAAACATATCCAAAGTTGTGTAAACTTGAAAGTAATTAACTAAAATGTGAAATTATTTCATGTACATGGATTAGCAAAACACAAAGACAAAACAGAGACAGTAATGCTTTTAGGGAATGGAAATTCTCATAGAATGCTGGTGTTCCAGCTACTATAAAGACACTGAAGAGCTGCATATTAAATCATTTAGAAGTTCCATTTCTAGAAGATGCCATTCGCCTACACAAGGACGTCCACTGCAGTGCTGTTTATAATTGCCAACACAGAAATAACCCAAATGTTAAGATAAAAATGGGTGATCTAGATACATTCACAAAGTCAAAACAAATGACCTAGTACTCATATCAGTACGGAAACTCTATGAAATGTAATGTTGAACAATGAAGTCAAGCTGACAAAGGATACACCCTACCACAGCATTTCTCAAATTTAAACATAAAATAAAAAAACCAAACAAACAAATTAACTAACCTAGGGTTTGTGATGAGTGTGTGGTAGGATGCTTCCGAGGTAGCTGCTAATGACCACCCCCTGCTTCCTGGCATTTACCTGCATCGTCCCCTCCCACATCACATCGGGGTCATTCTGTGAGACCAGCAGAGTGGGGTAGAAGAACGTGCCGCTTCCAAGATTAGGTGATGAAAACTGGGGCTTCTGTCCTGGGTGCTCTGATGTGTTCTCTTGGATCACTCGCTCAGCACTGACCAGAGGACATCAGGTAGTCCTGGGGTGAGGTCCAGATGGTGAGGGAAGCGGGGCTTCTGCCACCATGAGAGTGAGCTTGGAACCAGTTTCTACAAAGGACTTCAGATAGCTGCAGCCTCATGAGCAATGCTGGGCCAGAGACACCAGGGTAAGCCCCTCCTCGATTCCTGGCTCTCAGAAACTACACGAGATGGCCAGGCATGGTGGCTCACACCTGCAATCCTAGCACTTTGAGATGCCAAGGTGGGAGGATCAATTGAGCCCAGGGGTTCAAGACCGGCCTGGGCAACATGGTGAAAACCGAACTCTGCAGAAAATATCAAAAATGTTAGGCCAGACGCAGTGGCTCAAGCCAGTAACCCTAGCACTTTGGGATGCCAAGGTGGGAGGATCAGTTGAGCCCAGGGGTTCAAGACCAGCCTGGGCAACATGGTGAAAACCCATCTCTGTGGAAAATATCAAAAATGTTCTGGGCATGGTGGCCCATGTTTATAGTCCCAGGTATTTGGGAGGTGAGATGGGAGGATCGCTTGAGCTCAGGAGGTGAAGGCTGCACTGAGCCAAGATCATGCCACTGCACTCCAGCCTGGGTAACAGAGCAAGACCCTGTCTCTTAACAAAACAAAACAAAAGCCAGGCATATGCTTGTAATCCTAGCACTTTGAGAGGCCACAGGGGGTTGAGGACTTGAGCCAGGGAGTTGGAGACCAGCCTGGGCAACATGGCAAAACTCCCTCTACACAAAATACAAAACAATTATCTGGGGCGGTCTTGCACACCTGTAGTCCCGGCTACTCAGGAGGTTGAGGTTGGAGGATCATCTAAACCAGGGATGCCACTGTACTCTAGCCTGAGTGACAGAGCAAGACCCTGTCTCAATCCATCAATCAACTGAAAGAAAGGAAAAAAGAAAGAAAAAGAAACAAACAAACTGCAGAAGGTGATAGAGAGTTGTGACATTTGGGGCACGTTGTTACATAACAATAGATAATTAATGGAAGGTGCTCACAGCCATCTAGTGAAATTATAAAGGTATAGTAATTTAGAGAAGAATAAACCCTAATTTCAGGACAATGGTTAATGCTGGGGAAGGGGGTGGGTGGGGTGGGACTTTAGTTACACTTGTTTTCTCATTTCTATGACAGTTTTTTAAAGAAAAGATGACAACATGTTAAGTCTGGACATTCCACAAATGTGCATACAGTGTATGCTTTTCTGTAACTTAAAGTTTTTTTTTGTTAAACATTTTATAATGAAAAAATTAATACATTATATATATGCTTTGAAAAAGGCAGCACAGCTATTCCATGTATTAGGGCTCTATCAAGCACTGTCTGGGCCTTTAACTGCAGCCCTGAGGAAAGTCATTACTTTAATGGCTCAACAATCCACATGGAAGAGGAGACACAGATCAGCATATTTTCCCCCAGCTGGTAAAATCAAACGTTTAAGTTCCAAAACCCTAAATAAATTTTTTAAAAAGGAACAACAACAAAAAAATGTATAGAAGAGCACCTAGCAAATGATTCACAGTGAAATTTGGGGACAAAACGTTGCCCTGTCTAGGGATTACCTAATATTACACCATTTCCAACAGTAACCCACTTAAAAACAAATGGCTATTAGACTCTGCCGTATTCAGTGGACTCTAACAGCTGTTGCCATAATGGCCTCTACTTGAGTGACATTTAACAAGAGAACAGAAACTGTGGGCAAAATTGCTTCAGTTCTTAGATTCCCCTGGTTAAAAAGAAGCAAAATAGTCACAGTCAGGAAATTCAGTGATATTTCAGTCCCACTTGCCGCTACAAAGGAAGTTCTCACTCAGTGATAACTGAATAGGCTGAAAGAGTTACTTTTGCACACGCGAAAGGTAAACATTTGCTCACGGCAAAGGTGGAAAACATGACAATGGAAGGGTTCCATGTCTGCTCACCGGAGCAAAGTGAAAATACTTCCGCGCAGATATTTACGCAGACACGTCACGATGTATCACGTACGGACACTGAGTTGAATGATTTTATTTATATAGAATATGAATTGGCCGAACAGTCCAGATGCAATCCTTCCTTTGACTATTTCTGTCCTCTAAATCGTCACTTTTCTGACATGCCACTCTGCTTAAGGCAGCTAATGAAGCAGCCCTCATCTGCTTTACTCACCAGGAGTCCTGTTTTAAGACCATGTTTTAGGTATTAAAAAATAGTAGCTGGAATCTCTTTCCCCTGGAATAATTCGGCTGTGATCACCTGGCATTCTGCCCAGACACCTCATCCTGGCAGCTCTTCATCTGCGTTCAGATCAGAGTGAAGGTCTGAGTTGAAGCTCCCAGGATGGCAGGCCCAGTACTCTCACCTGTCCGCCAACAGTATCTCATATCCATCAAATTCCTACAAATCCCCTTTCCTTCAACCACATGATGACCTCATATTTCACTATCAATCCCCAAATTTCCTTCTATTTCACCACCTTGCCATCAATTCTTTTTTGACCTCACACTTAATTTTTCTCTCCTTTCACATATCACCAGCAAAACTTTGGAATTTCATTCTGTTCCTCACTTCAAATCTAATGCACCAATTTTTTTTTCAGTCCCTTGACATCTTATTTTGAAAGGCTACAGTTCTCCCGGCCATTTCTTTGATTCAGGCTCTTCTTCCACTTGTCTCCGGCAATTCAATCCCATGCCCACTTCTGTGATTTGCCTCTGCCTTGCAGGCTGGACTCTCAGTCAGAAATACCTAATCCTCCCATTAAACCATGTGCTGTGTAAGCACTCCATTTCAAGCAAACTGTGAAATCTGAAGACATTTCCAAGCTTATGGGGTTTAACCATCCTCTTGACTTTCTTGTGCTCTCCTGGTTTCTCTGAAGACCTGCCAACCCTTCAGCTAGACTGCAGAGTCATGCTCCCGGCCGCCCTCACGTCTTTCAAAGGAAACCCATGAGAAACAGGCGCTCCTTGGTCTCATTATGGTAGGATTTCAAGAAATTGCAATGATAGGTGTTCATTTCCTATTTCAAAATGAGGACAGCTTTAAGGAAAAATAAGTGTACACAGCTTAAATGTGAAACTTCTTCCTTACTCATATTGCTTTAACTGTCAAAACACTGTAAGGTAACTCCAAGGCTCCACAGCACATTTTTACTCCTTGACTATCAGGACTAATACTCGGAAAGCATTTTCCAAGTGTCAAGCACTGGACTGAAGTTTTACATGGATGATGTCATTTAATTATCTCAGCCACCCCATGACCCATTTTACTGAGAAGATTTTGATCCCTGGTGATAGGAAAAAGTGCAACAATTCAATGGTAGTTGATGTGCCATCCGGAATGGCTTCCAAGTCAGCACATTCACACAAAGGACTCTCGTCGGGGATCCCCATTCGATGTGAGAATTGCTCACCTGCGCAGGGGCTCGCCGCAAAGCCCACCCTCTTCCGGGCCCTGTCGAAGATGACGTAGAAGCCCTCCATCACCGTGGCTCCGATCACCAGCGCGTTTGTGGAAGGGGAGATGCCGAAGCGGTAACATTCATAATTCAGGCCGGCCCCCATCATGGGCTGAATGTAAAGCTGTTTGTCAGAGAGGAGAGAGCAAACGAACAAGAAAAAGCACAAATCAGGCAACATCACGAAACTGCTGAGGTCACACGCATGCTCAGACCCTCCCAGGTGCTGGGGGAGTTGCAGGGAAAGAAAGATGATCTTGTCCCTGCCCTCCAGAAGGAGAGAAGATAAAAATGTGGTGATCAATATTATTGATCGGGACAGAGCAGATGATCCATATCCACCACCTGGGGTTACTGGCAGGTGTATACACCCAGATGTTCATCCAGCTGTCTGCACACAAGAAGAGTCAAATTCTCTAAAATATTTTGAGGGGATTTATTCTGAGCCAAATATGAGTGATCACGGCGCGTTGGACAGCCCTCAGGAGGTCCTGAGAACATGTGCCTGAGGTGGTTAGGGCACAGCCTGGTTTTATGCAATTTTGGGAACATGAGACATCAATCAAATACTTTTAAGATGTACATTGGTTTGGTTCAGAAAGGCTGGACAAGTCAAAGTAGGGCTTCCAGGCTAAAGGCAAATTTAAAATGTTCTGGTTTGTAATTGGTTAAGTTTATCTGACCTGGGATTAATAGAAAGAACATGTTTGGATTCAGAGAAAGGATTGTGAATATCAATGTTTTATTGTGCAGAGGAAGCTTTTAGCTAGCAGGCTATGAAGAGAAGAGCTTGTGAAATGTTTCTTACGGGGCTTAAAAGGGCGCCTGACTCTTGGTTGATTATCTTCTGGATCTGGAAAGAATAAAAAATAAGGAAAAGGGGAGTCTCTAAAGACAGTAGAATTTTTCCTCACAAGAGACAATCTGCAGGGCAGTGTCAAGATATGAAAAGAAAATATATTTGGGGTTAAAATATTTTCGTTTCTTTCCTTATTTGTTATGTGATATTATGCCAGAGCTAGGCTGGAAAGCAGGGCATGTAATACAGGCTTAAATGAAACCCCTCTGGTGAGATTTTATGGTTTGTAGGGCAGACTCCCCAGGGTCCTTAGATAGGAATTTGGTCAAGCGAATAAAAAAAAGTCAGAGTTTAGTCCTCACCCCCATCTGGCCATCTGCCCAGGAGCTACCTGCTGAGGACTTCACAGGGCTCCAAAGCTGCCCTCTGTACCAGGACTACATTGATGAATGACACAGAGTCCCTGTTCCCTCAAGGCTCCCAATCTAGGTGGAACCAGGCAGTGAGCACAGGCTGCAAAGTGCCCACACAGACCCCCTGTATGGGACTGGTGCCCACTTATCACTCCCTCTGCATGGAGGCTTTCTTCACTTGGGCTCTAAGAGGGCCATACTCTTCTTTCTAACTCCTAGGCCACTCCTTCTCAGCACCTATATCGGATTTCCTTCACGTTCCTCCCCTGCAAGCATCAGAACAGTCTTGGACTCTGACCTCCTCTCAATCTTCCCTCCTTGGGTGACCCATCTGGCCCCACCCCATGGCCCTAGATCACCCTGTGGTCTCATCTGAGACTCCCACCTCCTCCTGTCCAGCCCAGACCTGGGCCGCCATTGCCACACACTTATGTCCACCTGCCTGTCCACCTTTCAGTCAGTCTCTCCCGTGTAACCTGTAAAAGCCTGAATGCTGGCTATCCCCCCGCAAATCAGCCTTCTCCCACAGTTCTCTGTCTCAGAAGATTTATGGTTCACCCAATTACTGAGGCCCTGAAGCTCTGGGCCAGTCCTTTTCTCTCTTACCCTGCATGGAGATGGTAATCAGACCCCTGCGAACCTTCCCGTGAAACTGAAGCAGAATTGAATCCCTCCCTCGCCTCACCCAGGCCAAGTCCTCACTGTCCTCGTCCCTCAGGATCCACTGCAATGGCTCCTAGCTGGCCTGGAGCCCATCATGCACCTCCCCCTTGGGCAGAGAGAATTTTAAAAGTAGGCAGTCTGACGGAGGGAGGACAATTTCCTCAGTGAAAAGAGGAAGACGTGATCAGCCTCAGAGAGAAGATAGCATCAGTGGGTCAGAAGTTCTCCCACGTGAGAGGGCCGGTTCCCACAGGTGCTGTGCGGTGTTAAACAAACTCAAGTTGGCCCTTGAGATCCCCGGAGCCAACAGCATGCAGGGAAATGGCCCAAACCTTAACACACGCAGGGAGCAAATCACTGTCCTATCAGCAGTAACAATTTCTTGGCTTCTGAATAGCAAATAATTCAAATGCAGGCAATTAGAGAATAGAGCAGCTGAGTATGACAAAATACCACCTATTTGGAGAAAAGCCAGAGTGCAAAATGAGTAAGAAAACGAACCTTCCTGTGAGTAATGATCAGCCTTAAAGAGCAGAGGCAGGAAGAAGGACTCTGAGGAAAAAGGTAGACACACTAACACACAGAGTCCTGGGCCTTCTGGCTGTAGAGGGTCTGAGGGACTGCAAGGGGGTAATTTTGGAGGGAGCAGAAAAGATTGAGAGGACATGGCAGCAGGGAGGGGCTGCCATGTGACCACTCTGGAGAGCAGGCCAGGGAGGGACAATGCAAAGCTGTGAAGAGAACTTGGAGCTCCCCTGTGGGCGGGCGGCTGCGGCTTTGCAGCAGGTCACATAGGATTCAGCCCATGGGCTTTTGGGAAATAGTGCTGGGTGTAGACAGAGTTTAAAGCAATTGCTTTTGACTTGACGCTTTTCTGCAGGACTGATTGTTCCCACCTATTAGCCTTCATGCCTGAGAGGTCCCAGGTGCGGGCAAGGACTCCTGGCGTTTTCCCTAGGTGTTAGAAAGGCTGCTGGGCAGGGCCCTTCTGCTGGGAAACGTGGAGCGTGTGGGGTCTCACCAGGTGACCTTTCCCAGCTTCCTAGTGGAGTCCCCTCCCAGCCAGGGAAGGGAAAACAAGTGGAATGTGACACTGGGTAAGAAATCAGGAAAACCACAGGTACATTGGAACGTGACACTGCGTAAGAAATCAGGAAAGCAACAGGTACATTGGATTTTTAAAAATCAAAATGTGAACATGTCAGAGTCAACCAAAAAATGTCCACCACTAGAAGTGAAAGCAATAATGAATTCTTACGTGGAGATGTGCAAACAACGTGAAATGCTCCCAGACCTCTCTCATTCTGCTTCTGAGCTTGCCCAGTGCTGAGGCCTAAACACTACGTGGAGCCCGAGCAAGCCTTCACAGCTGTGACCTGCCTGGACTGAGGTTCCCCCAAATGCCCGCCTTCTCCTCCTGCTGCTTCTGAGTCCTTCGTGCCTGACATTTATTCAGCAGTGCACACCTGCACCCTCAAGCTGGGTTCTGGCGTTATTACACACCACATTGATGAACTAATGTCCATACTCTGCCATTCTACTGGCCAAAATGTAATCATCAAGAGCACACAATTTTAAAGCTGCTGAAAACACAGCACCGTAACATCACTCAGGGCAGTGCCATTCATCCAAGGCTACTGCATTCTTCTGAAAATGTCTTTGGTAGGTATTACTGTTTCCTCTTTATAGTTAAAGAGACACAGACAGCGCTAAATGCTTTGCTCAAAGTCACAATGTGAGGGCAGGGCAGTGCTGAGTGTGTAACACAAGCCTCTCGTGAGAGCGGGTGGCTCCTGTTGGCCTGCATTTCTCCTGAAGCTCCCAATCCTTTCCCCCAGCTCTCTCCTTTTCTGGGACACACATCCCCACAATGTAAGGTTGAAAATGAGGAAGAGGCAGCAGTACCATTTCCTTTTTCTCTTCTGAAATCACTCCTCCCTCCCTGTCCAATCCGCTTTATTCCAAATTCATCAAGTTACAACAGAGACCCACTGATGTGTCCATTCCACAAACAGAATGCACTTTCCCTCCACTGCTGGTGGCGTTGGGGAGGGGAGGCTGATCTTTCACATTCACAGCTCTCATCTTCGAGGAATTTGTAATGAATAGAAAATGAAATAGAAGAAAACAGAAGTCAAATGAAAGAGGCAACAGCATACAACGTACCCTAAAGATATGATTCCATGCCAGATGAGCAGAACAGAAAATATGCGTGCTGAGTGGGAGGTGCAACCTCACAAATGGGTTATTCTGCTCATCATAGTTTCAACAAAAGCTGCGTTGTCTGAGTTGACTCTTAAAGGACGGGAAGAATCTGGATGTACAGGCGGAGTAAGGAGGGGGCATTTCAGGCAGAGGGGTTGGTGGAACAGGGGATGGGAGGCAGTTGCAGGCAAGAGGCCCTGAGGGTCAGTGGCCCCGCGGCAGAGGGTCGGCGTGCAGTGGGAATGCTGGGAACTAGAGGGGGTCTGGTGGGAGTCCATGGACAGCTATGCCAGAAGCCCTGAGCATTTACATCATGAGGATGCACTGCTTGCTCACAGCAGGGTAGGCTTGGGTGAAGACGGGGGTCTAGGAAGAGTAATCCCACAACAGTTCCAAAAAGAAGAGAGGGTGGGGGCTTGGGAGCATGGCAGCGTTCTGCAGGCGACAGAAGTGCTGGTGAGAGCCACAGGGCGAGGGCTCAGGAACAGAGGGGAGGAGGAAGCGGTGAGAAATGAGACTGAGGAACACAGATGGGGTCCATTTCATTACACATATAGGATAAAAAGGGAGTCAGTGGTGTATGGGGAGAAAAGAAACAACGATGTCTTCAAATTGGACAACCCAGTATTTTTTGTTTGTTTGTTTGTTTTTGAGACGGAGTCTCACTCTGTCGCCCAGGCTGGAGTGCAGTGGTACAATCTCGGCTCACTGCCACCTCCACTTACCAGGTTCAAGCGATTCTCCTGCCTCAGCCTCCCAAATAGCTGGGATTACAGGCATGCACCATCACACCCAGCTCATTTTTGTATTTTTAGTAGAGATGGGGTTTCAACATGTTGGCCAGGCTGGTCTCAAACTTCTGACCTTGGGTGATCTGCCCGCCTTGGCCTCCCAAAGTGCTGGGATTACAGGTATGAGCCACCACACCCGGCCCAGTTTTATCCTTTATACCTAGTATAATGGTGATGTGGTAGCTGTGACAAAAATTTCTCCAGGTCTCTTCCCTTTCCCTTGTAGCCACACCCTTGCCAATGTGGCTCTGTGGCTCCTCCCAGTGTGAGAGGCATCTATTCCCCCATCCTTGGAATCTGGGCTGGCTTTGGGCTTGTGTGGGCAGCAGCGCCGTGGAAGAGGCAGTGGCCAGTTCCGGGCTGACACTGCGGGAGCCCCTGCATGTCAGGTCCTTTCTCTCTCTCAGGTCCCTGTTACCATGTGTGACTCAGGCACCGGATGGAGAGTGATGCATGGCTCCATTCCTCCACCACCTTGCCACCAGATATGTGAGTGAGGCTGTCCTACAGCAGCCTAGGTGGAGGCCAACTAGGGTCTGGCCAACCACCGGCTGAGCAGAGACATGTGAGTGAGTTCGGCCGAGGGCCGCTGCCCTGCTGTACTCAGGGGCAGTAATAAGGGTGGCTGTCTTTTGCAGCATGGTGGTGGTGGTGACAGCTAATGCAGGTGTGACATCTCATATACGTGTCATGCATGGAATGCCTTCATTTTTTCATGTTAAAAAGAGCAAAGCACAAATCCAGGTTCATACCTGAGGCAGGATCGTGAGACGGAACGATCTGCTGGAGTTCTCGTCTCTCAGGTAGATGGAGATTTTAGGGAAGTAAGACCAAGGTGTTTCCGAATTCGCCCAGCAAGCCAGCTGGGACCCAGTCCAGAAACCATCAGAGAATTCCGGAATCTAGACAAAACAAGATCATGTGAGAAACCACGACTGGTCTGGAAGGTCTGCGGGAAACAGCTCTGGGCTCTCCTAGCCACCTCGCCAGATGCCCGCAGGGATAAACAGTGTTTAATTTGGACAGAACAGCAGGGACATTAGTCCCCTGGAAGAGTGACAGTGATGATAAAATGATAATGATTGAAACTGTCAAGACACAGAAGTACCTACTAGTATCAGGCACCCTTAGAAGCCCTTTGCAGCAATAATTACTTCAATTCTCAACCAGTGGAATGCATTATCCTGGCTACTTTACACGTGAGGCAAGCAAAGCACAGAGAGGTGAAGTAATTTGCCCAAGGTCACACAGCAGAGGGCAGAGGCCTTTTAGAAGGGAGGAATCCTAATGTTGGCCTTCAAGGCCCTTCTGCTCATCACCTGCCCTCCGAATTCCATGAGCCCAGCAAGTTGCCTCCTGGCGCAGAGCCTAGGCTCTCTGCTCTTTTGGGACATTTTTCTCCTCCTCCAGATCTCAGCTCAGGCCACCTCATCCAGGAAGCCCTCACTGGCTTCCCCTTGTAACACTAGAACACCACTGTGTCCCTCTCCTTCCTGGCCTTTCTCATTGTGGCAGTTAACAATTCACACTGATTGGTGTGATTCAGTTCTCCCTCCTGCACTAGAGTTCATGTCTTCTCAGGATAGAGGTCTGTGGCCTGGCCCCCGCTGCAGCCCTAACCCCTCACACACAGAAGAGACTTGGCGAATAATTGTGTAAAAAAATAAACGGGATCCAGAGACAAAAAGGTGGCCAGCAACACAGGACATCCACCTGTGCCTCTCACCAGGGAACCGGAAGGAAGGTGGCGTCTGCCCATCTCCCCTCATTGCTGAGTTGGCAAGTTAATGACAGCTGTGTGATCTCACAAGGAGACTCCCCAGTGATCCGCCCTGGGCCTCCTGTCCCACGTGGGGCAGAGCAGGAAGAGGTCATGCCTGGGAGGAGGGACTGTCTGTCCAGGGAGCTGGGCTGGAGGGCCAAGCAGGCACTGGGGAGGTGTGTGGCGGGGGCACCAGGCAAGATGCTGTGGTGGAACCTGCCTGCTGGACAAGGCTGGTGCTGCAGACAGACAGGAACGAAAGATGAGGCTGGGAGAGAACCAGCACCGCCACTGTGAAGGAATGCCGTGACCGCATTCATCTGCTGGAGGGCTGAGGTCTGCAGCGCTATCACCGCAGTTCATGCATCCAAGTGTACATGTCGGGCTCACTAGTCCTGAGTCCCTGAGCTCCAGGGGATGGGCATGGGCTAGATACACATCCCAGAGGTGCTGGCAGGTGAGCAGGAGGTGTCGATGAGGGTAAGGATGGGATCATCACATAGGAGAGCATGCAGCAAGAACAGGGGGCTCAGGCCAGAAAAAGAGGCCCCAGGACGAGGGGCACAGGGGCAGGAAAAGTCCAAGGAGGAGGGAGAAGGGTCTCATATAAGCCAAAGGGGTAGTCAGAGCAGAAGACAGGAAAGTGGGACGGAGCGCTGCCAAGACCAGAAGAAGAACATGTGGGTGCCCCTGGACGCATCTGCCAATGCCCACACCCACTAGGGGTGGCATGTGCCACATAACCATGTGCACTGCAGGCACCTGCCCTCCTTGCCAGGGCATGCAACTGGGGAGAAAGTGCCCTGTGGTTGGTTCATCCATCCAGTGTTCTCCATTCAGACCATTTGTGAAACTTCTAATGCTGGCATTAATAGATCTTGGCTTCGTAAAAAATCGAAGTTGATTGGAGATGTGCATCACAGGGAGAGCTCCTTCTCAGACAAGCTCATAAGAGGTGGAACGGACATTTTGCTGGATTTGGTGAAGAGCTTCAGTGGCCAGGCCGGCAGTGGGGCACAGAGCTCAGACGACAGCGCCATGTCCAGTTCCAATGGCAGGTGGCAATGAGACTCTGAGGAGCTGAGTAACTGGCCTGGGTATCTTGCCTCAGGTTTGGATGTGGGACTTACTGTCCCCAGAGCCATGGTCTGGCAGCCTCCCAGGGGGTGAAGCCATGTGTCCTTGGCCAGTTTCAACCCTCAGATCACAGAGTTTTAAAGTTAGAAGTCATCTTAAAGTGGGTGTCATTTTGCATCTGGATTTCCTCCTGGAGAAGCGCTGGGACTGAGCCACACGGGTGCCGTGGCAGGGTCGAATGAGCCCAGGTCCCCGTGCCTCTGCGTGAGCTGCACCTCGAGCAATACTCCCCTCCAGGTTCATTTGTAAACACAGAACTCCAAGCCCTTACTCTCTAGAATCCCATCTGAACAACAGCCCAGCATTCGTATTGTCTTGAGCGCCCGGAAGGCAGCCCTCTCCTTAACCAGAGGAAACCCAAGCCAAGAAGGTCGGCTTACCCGAACCTGGCAGATAAGAAAAACAAACACAACCCTGGTCCAGAGACACTAAGACAGAGACACAATGCGCCCTTGTAATGCTTTCCCTGCCCGAGACAAACAGGCTCCCTGGGTTTCTCCTCCTGATGCAGGCACTGGAGGAAATCAGGGGATAATTTTAGATAAGGCAAACAAATGTTGTGATCTCATTCTTTCTACCTTGCGCTTTCCTTGCAAAGTCAGTCAGGGCTCGGCGCAGGCCACGATGAACACGGGAATGCCAGCCCCACGCAGCCCCGCCGTCCTGCCTCTCACGGCACAGGGGCCCGGTCAGTCCACAGCTTGCTGGGATTTTCACGCTGTGCTTCAAATGTGTCTTTGGGATGGTGGTCAGACTTTTCCATTCAGCATATTAAGTTGGAAGATACATTAATCCCGTTGAGGGCATTTTTACTATTTAACAAATGAGGATATCACTCCATATTTTAAGTATGGTCTGATTTTCTGCAAGCGTTCTAAATTTAAGGCATTAAAAATGTTACCTGCTACTTTCTCTGATTCAGCAGATAGGGGGAAAGATGGAGACTCTGCTGCGGCTTCAGTGGCAGCTGTGCCAGGCAGCTGGCTGCCTTGAGTCCCGCTGCTTCAGAAAGGGCCCACAACCTTTCCTGCTTATTTCCCTCTGTGTCTGTTTCATCCGCGTGCCGCTCTTCCCGCAGCAGTTACAGGCGTTTGAAGTTTGGGTTCAGCACAACCCAAAGCCATCTCCCGCCTGTCACGTTTCTGCTACGAGCGGTACCCACTGCACGAGCTCTTATCGGCCACTGTTTGAACTCAGCCATCACAGCAGAGGAGCAGGACAATCAGCCCCACACCAGGGCCGTAGCACAGGCTGCGTACGGGAAACACTCTCTGACGATCTCACAAGGATGAGCGGACAGATGCCATGAGAACGCGCAGGAAGCCAAAAGTAACACTCATCTCGCATCTATACAAATAGCAGCAGTGCTGGGGTTGGACGTTAAATGGAAGCTCCAAGTGTCTACTGAACACCACGTGTTTGACCCAAACCTTACAACCACCCCTCAGTTGAGGGTACGGAGGCTCTCCGGGGGCACAAGACCCCTCTCAGGCATCCGGCTAAAACTGACAAAAACTAGAATAAATTTAATTCTATTTCATCCCCAAAGCTGTGCTGTAGCCAATGTTTATTGCCCTGAACTGACTAGAAAGCCGGGGGTCAAGCCAGGAATACCATCAGCCAGGTCCCATAAAGACATGTTGGCAGGCAGGGCGTGGTGGCTCACACCTGTAATCCCAGCACTTTGGGAGGCCAAGGCAGGTGGATCACGAGGTCAAGAGATCGAGACCATCCTGGTCAACATGGTGAAACCCTGTCTCTACTAAAAATACAAAAAATTAGCTGGGCATGGTGGCGCGTGCCTGCAGTCCCAGCTACTCGGGAGGTTGAGGCAGGAGAATGGCCTGAACCCAGGAGGCAGAGGTTGAGGTGAGCCGAGATCGCTCCATTGCACTCCAGCCTGGGTAACAAGAGCGAAACTCCGTCTCAAAAAAAATAAAAAATAAAAATAAAAAAGACATGTTGGCTACAATCGTCATTTCAATTGTATTTCAGGGCATGGCCATAAGTAATTATTAGATCGGCTGATGGACCTTTATCTTCTGTGAAAAAATGATACTCTTACAGAAACAGAAGTTAAGACACCAGTGCAGGGAGGAAGGCCAAAAAGGAGTAAAATTTTTGGTTTATGTGTTTTGTTTTAAAGTCTGTAAATATATTCTTGATTTATTGTTTATTCTAATATAGTTACATTACCAAGTGTTGTTTTTCACAGATTAAAAAAAAATACTACACCGACTGAACTATTAAGTGAAATACTGGAGGGCACTGCACATTCAGAGCCAAGTCCTCCGAGGTTCGTGAAGGTATCAAAGAGGATTGTGACATTAACAAGTAATGGTTGAAACAAAATCCTTCAGAGTGCACATTTGAAATACATATATATATCTACATATTGCACCTATATTACATATAAAATGTACAAATACAAAATATTTGAAATGCATGGCACGACAGTTCAGAGATGCTCAGAATGCACGGTGCTGCTCCTCAGCAGGTGATTGTAACCCCACGACTCGGGGACCCGTGAGTGTCCTGAGGACTCACCAGAGATGCGCGGGCCACAGCCTCCACCACTGCATCGAACACCTTCTGGGGCAGGCGCAGCAGCGTGGTGCCACTGTCCACGATGGCCTTGTCGGCGTTATACTAGAACGGGAGAGAAAGCGGAAGGCGCATGAGTGACAGTGGCACTCCCCACCTTGTGTGGCTGCAGTGGCCATCACCATCTATCTGTTACACACAAATCCTGGTAGTCATGCACTCATCAAGGACTGTAGTTTATTTATGTTCTCAGGACTGGGGAACGAGGGGTCTTCCAGCCAAACACATTCACTTCAGAGACAAGGAAATGGGCCCAGGAAAGGGAGGGGACATGACCCAAGTTAGCAAATCAATAGCCCTCCCAAGGCACAGCTCTTTTCTTACTCAGAGCTGCCCAGGTTCCTTCATTGAGGACCCCATTCCTGCCCCAGGGCAGAGGGAAGACCTATTTGTTTTTTGAGGCTGAAATATACTAAAAGTCACCTGCACAAACCGTACACAGATCAACTCTCTATGACCTCGCTAATGAAGAGAAGAAGGAGGGACAGTTTTTCAACAGACATCTCATATTTGTACTGGGAACAGAACCAGAGCCATACTGATTCACAGACTGAGACACACACAGACGCTACCAGCCCCGTCCCCACCTGCAACGTTCTTTATGTGGCAGAGCGAGAAGGATGAGGCCAGTGGCCAACACCAGACAAGCCACCCCATCAACTATGGGCACAGCTGTATGGGCAAGGCTGCCCATGGATGGCACGAGTCCTGGGCAAGTAGATCCTCCTGCCTTAAGGCAAATCCATGAGTCTCATGAGGAAGTCTCATCCAACGAAGTCAGAAGGGAAGAGGAGTTAAGAATTTTTTAAAAATGGCCGGGCGCGGTGGCTCACGCCTATAATCCCAGCACTTTGGGAGGCCGAGGCGGGTGGATCACAAGGTCAAGAGATAGAGATCATCCTGGTCAACATGGTGAAACCCCGTCTCTACTAAAAATACAAAAAATTAGCTGGGCATGGTGGCGCGTGCCTGTAATCCCAGCTACTCAGGAGGCTGAGGCAGGAGAATTGCCTGAACCCAGGAGGCGGGGGTTGCCGTGAGCCGAGATCGCGCCATTGCACTCCAGCCTGGGTCACAAGAGCGAAACTCCGTCTCAAAAAAAAAAAAAAAAAAAAGAATTTTAAAAAATTATACCAATTTTTCTCACATACTACTTTCAGTGTAAAAACAAAATTTAAAATATAATTTAGCTTATTCATAAAATTGTCATTTTTTTAATATGTGAGAAAAGTAAATATGTAAAAGGCCTGTAGCAAAATGAAATGTTGCACTAAGATGTCCTGGATTTTGTTGTTTGTTCTTTTGTGGGGTGGGTGCATGTGGGGTGGGCAGGAAAGAACCTAGAATCTAAGAATCACATCTCCAAATATAGGCTTTTCCTTGCTAACACACACACGCACGCACACACACATACACACACATGCACACATGCGTACACACACACACACACACACACAAAGTTTTGTATTTTGTTTTACATTTGGTTCTTAACTGGCCAATAAGTGCCAATAATTTCCTTGTTAATACACATACACATACACACGCGCACACACACACATACACACACATACACACACGCACACATACACACACATATACAAGTTTTGTATTTTGTTTTACATTTGGACATTTGATTCTACCACTGGGTTCTTAACTGACCAATAAGTGCCTCTTGACAATAAACACAGATTTGCAATGGAAGGGACTGTCATTTTTATCAGTCTTTAGTTTCTCAGAGGTACCTGCGTACATGAGAATTGATGGTGGGATATGGTGGGTAATAAGAACGGAAGTGCTAACATAACAGGTTACAATATAATGGGATCCCCGTGGTTTTTATAAAGCATTCTAAAAGGGCTGTAGAAGACTGAGGCTCCCACAAGTCATCATAATCATAATGTTGTCATGTGTCATGAACAAGCCAAATCACAGTGAGAGGGCGTGAACATGGGTCCTAAGAGGCTCAGTGTCAGAGCTCCGCATGTGGCCCCTTTGGACCCACCGAGCCACACACATCTTTGCAGCATGACTGTTGTTCCGGGAGAATTGTGTACTCTGGGGGCCAGACTAGCTGTGAATGGAGGAGAAAAAGCTGATGATCTTTTTTGATTTCGTATGTCCTACACTGATTAAAAATCTGCTTATTTCAACCTCTTAAACTGAGCTCAGGGACCATCAGTCCAAGATGAATGAATGGGGAAAGGTGTAGCTCACGTGGTCCTCTTCACTCACCATTTAATGCTAATTTTGTCCTGTGAAGGTAAGTGGTTGGGAGGATGCAATATTTGGGAGAACAAACAATTCATTGATTAAAACTCACTGTAGGCAAGCCCTGAACCTTTATCATACAATGTAATGTACCTTTTCTTGTCATATTCAGGTTCCAGCTGTCATATTTAAGTGACCCAGGCATACACAGAAAGACACAACAGAGACTATAGCATGAATACCTCTCTGCAGTCCAGATTAAGGCTCTGGCCTCCAATTTCCAATTTCAGAATTTCTATCTGGTAGTACCATTCCTCCTTAATAGGGGTATACCAGATGTCTCCTTTATACAAACTTGGTTCAATTCCACCCAGGACCTGGGACAGAAAATATTTATAGGTATAAGAGAAAAAATACACAGACATGTCAACGGCTTATACAAAGAAGCACACACTTGTAAAGTGAAACTTCACGGCAATCAGAGCTTCTACTTTGTGGTGATGTCATGAGCCAAATGTAAGTGCTTAAAAAATAAACAAGGAGCCAGGTGTGATGATTCATGCCTGTAATCCCAAACTTTGGGAGGCTGAAGTGAGCGGATCATGAAGTCAGGAGTTCGAGAACAGCCTGGCTAGCAGAGTAAAACCCCATCTCTACTAAGAATACAAAAGTTAGCCAGGCATGGTGGTGCATGCCTGCAGTCCCAGCTACGCAGGAGGCTGAGGCAGGAGAATAACTTGAACCCAGGAGACAGAGGTTGCAGTGAGTCGAGATCACACCACTGTACTCCAGCCTGGGTGACAGAGCAAGACTCCATCCCCAAAAATAAAAGAAAATAAAATAAACAAGGAATGTTATGGGTTCATGTCTGCAAAGTTCAGATGATATTATGCCCCAGTCTAAACAAGATGCTTTAGTGATTTCTCTTATCCAAAGAAAGTACATACATGTTCAGCTTTACAATATTGACATTTTCCTTCAAACAAATGCAATAAAACAGTTGACCACACTCACTGACAATTATTTAATTCCTCAGAGGTCAGAGAACAGAAGAGTAAGAGCTTCCCTGATCAAAGTTTCAGTTTGCAAAATTGTAAAACATTTCCTCACAAACCCTGCGCTAACCTCCTCCCAGAAATGGTAGCAAATGAAAGTAGCTGAGATCAGGGCAGAGCCCACCTCTCACAGTCAGACAGCAAAGCGGCTGGCGGCACCCCATTCTAGTGCATTCTTCCTGTCCCCTACGGCTTTCGATGTCTGGGGGCAGGGCCCTGGAGGGAATCAGGCTCCAGCATTTCCGTAGTGCTGACGGCCTTGGTTCTGTTTCAATAGCAAATGCTTTTGCTGTGGTGCGTGTATGTGTTGAGAGCGAGGAAGGCTCTACAAGGCCTATTTCCGTGCCAACTTTATGAACTCTCCTTTGCCCCCCTACCCACAGTCGGGCCCACTCACCCCATCCCCAACCCCCACCAATTCTCACTTGCCCCTCCCCCACCCACAGAAAGCAGTACCCTTCCAAGGACAGTAAAGAAAAGCTTTAATGGAATTTGGAGAACGATGAGAATCATCCTTCCAGATGGCAGGGTGACATCAAGATTGCCTAATTTTAGCGATTTTTAAAAAGATTTACAACAAGGATGATTAAAGTTTTACAGTACCTACGCACACCTACATGCCCCATATTTATATTTCTGCTCAGGTGTTTAATAAAACAGAAAAAAAAACAGCCCATCAGTCTGTGATTTTTCGCCCCTTTAAGACTAAAAGATACCCACAAGACTACCTCCGTTGGTCCCAGATCCAGCAACGGGCAACCCGGCTCCGCACATCTGCATGGAGAAAACATTGGGGATGTTTGCTTGTTTCACCAGGGAGTCAAAGAAGGTCTCCAGAGAGCTTGATGGCTGTGGGGGGGTGACAAGGAAGGACGCCTACTTAGGACGTGCATGGTAGACACGGGCGACCCAGTGTAGATGCCATGCACCACAGACAACATTCCTGGTGTTTACATTTAATTTTTTCATGGTTCCACAATAAAGCAGCTTGTGATCAGGTCTAGGAATTCAGAAAGCCCCAACAGAGCTTCCCACTGGTCGGTGTTTTCCCTTCGGGTACGGCTCTGTTGTACAAATAAGGTCGTATTTCTGGAAACCGTCCGACGCAGCCACATCCATCGTCATGACCGCCTTGTGAGGGGGTGTGAGAAGCCGTGAAAGTGGGTTACCGTGGCAGGTGGTGGATCCTAATCTTAGACACTTCAGAGTAAGGAGAGAAGTGTTTCTCTAGGAGCTGCCATGGCCGCAGACATTTTTGTTCTCCTGTCAGCTGCAGCTGTCCACCATGCAAATGAGAGGTGACCGACTAGGGAGAACAGTATCCCCCGGACCTCAGAGCCTGGGGCGAGGCTTAGCTCTGCCTGATGAACTCTGGTGGGAAAGCACCAGGAAAGGCACAAAAATATCATCCAGAAGCATGAAAGGCTTCTTATCCCCAGAGGCCAGATTTCAGAAGCCCTCACGTGCTCTGTTTCTCTCTCACGTCCAGCAAGACATGCCGAGAACGTCCTCATTCCTCCAGAGACACTCAAAGGGAAGAGGGAAGGTCTGGGAACAGCTATGAGGTGGGGTGACATGGGGGTGTGCCGGGGGTGCCGGTGGTCATGGAGGAAGTCAGTGACAGACTTGGGTTTAGATTCTGACAAGTGGGAGACACTGGAGTTGGTGACCCTGAGTTGTTATTTTTTGATTAAAACTGAACTACAGTAGCACAGACGCTACGGGGGCACCCCCGGGTACCACGGTCATTCACAGACATGATTATTTACCATCTGTGAGAACGAAGACTGTGATTCCAGAGGGAGTGGGAGGGGAACTCCACGATGTAAGGGACGTAGATCTGCCCATTGGTTTAGTCCATTTGTGTTTGACCTCTTACTGTCTCATCTCAGCTTCTGCAGAATTCCCAGGCAGAATTCAGCACAATCTCACATGCGTTCTCTGTCAAAACCCTTGTGAGCATGTGGGTCAACCAGTGAGACAACAATCCCCTCCTAGGATAACAGGATGGGCCTGGGGGTGGCCCAGCTGGTGTTCTGCCCACCTTCTCAAGAGGCAGTAAAGCAAAGCAAACACGGGTGGAAGACTGGCTCTGCCACTTGCCGGCTGAGGGACTTGTTCCTTTGCTTCCTTCCCTGTGAAACGGGGAGAAGAGCAGCCTCCTGGAGCCGCTCTGGGGCTTCAATGGGCCGATGCTGCAACGGTACCTGGCACACAGTGAAGGAGCTACAATCTTCCCGTCAAGTCCTTCTTCACCAGGGGTATGCCCTGGGATCCCTCTAAGAACTTAAAAACATCCAGGTGCCGAAAACCAACCCCGAGAGAAGCAGATTCAGCAGGAGTGGGGCCCAGGCAGCTGCAGTGTCAGAAGCCTTGTGGATATTCCTGACACAGCCTTGACAGGAAGCCCCTGGAATGGACGAGGGGCCACCACACAATCTGACCACTGCAGAGCGCTCAGCCCTCCGTCTCAGAGACCCCTGCGGCAGTCTGCCCAGCCCACCTGCAGGCCCTGTTCCCCGCCACACTCTGCTTTCTCCAAGTCCTACTGCTCTCTCCTCAAACCCTGGACATGGGAAGCCAATTGTCAGTAATCTCGGAATTTCACAAATGAAAAGATAAAATGTCACATGGCGAGTCAGGAGGTCTGAGCAAACCCAGAAGTCTGTCCTCACAGAAGCTTTACATGGTATTAATTACAGGCAATTTAGGCTCATTGTCTTTGGAACAGCTCACATAAAACCAGTCATACGTCTTTCATTTCCAAACTGTCACACACAGATAAAACATTCTGAAAACGTATTTAGGAATGCAGGTTTTCACCCATCTGCATTTCCCTATGATACAGAGGACAAAAGCATTCCTGAGCCAGCCTTGGCTCTGCAGACTGAGAAGTGTACCCACAGCTCCATGTTGTGACTTCAAAGGTGCAACGGCTTGTTGACCCTCAATCTCCACATCTTGAAAATGGGGAGAATACGGCCAGGCATGGTGGCACATGCTGTAATCCCCCAGCGCTTTGAGAAGCTGAGGTGAATGGATCACTTGAGCCCAGGAGTTTGAGACCAGCCTGGCCAACACGGTGAAACCCCATCTCTATCAGAAATACAAGAATCAGCCAGGTGTGCTGGTGAGCGCCTGTGGTCCCAGCTACTCGGGAGGCTGAGGTGTGAGAATCGCTTGAACCCGGGAGGCGTAGGTTGCAGTGAGCCAAGACTGGCCTCTGCACTCGAGCCTGGGTGACAGAGCAAGAATCTGTCCCAAAAAAATACAAAAGCTTTAAAAACTTTAAAGGGACTTCCTCCCACAGGGGAGTCATGGGCACTGAGTGACTGACATCGCATATCTTCTCAGCCTTGGGCCTATTAGGCTCTCCACAACTGGGGGGCCAAGGGTTGTAAAATTCCTCTTGCCCTCCCCACCTCACCCCATCCGCTGATAAACTGGAGCTGGAACAAATGCTCTTCCCGGATGGAAAGATTATCCTCATGGGACGATGGGGGGGCTGTTGCTCTGTTTCCTTCTACATGTGGCTCTGGCTCCAAGCCTACCACTGAGCAAGGTGAGGCCAGGCGTGGTGCCCAGATACAGGCACATGTAAACCCATGTGGACTCCAGGAGCCCACCGCACGCCCCTGGTGTCCACTCCCACCTGCTCTGACAATGCCTCCGGGTGGAAATTCCCCTGCCTGCCTCCCTCCTCCTGCACACAGACTTTATTTCCTTTGGGTTGGCCTCAAGTACAAATTTTTGGGGAACATCCAATTCTGTCTTTCTCCATTTGGGGAGGCTCTGGTGATGGTGACAGCAGGGATCCACAATTCCTCCGTGGCTCACCACCCCTGGGAAGGCCTGGCTATCCCCGGGGCATGCTTGCAGGCCTCCCAAATTCCCTTGCTGGGTGTCTGCTCTGACGTGTCCCCTGCAGTGGTGGGAAAACAGGCCGAGTCCCAGGCTGGGGGAGAGCACCAACCCCAGCCTGTGTTCCAGGGCCGCTCTCAGGCTCCATCTTCATGCAAACGTATAAATTTAACAAATGTGTTATCTCTTAATTCTACATTAATAAAAAGTCCTAAATACACACCATAAGGTACATGACTAAAATTCTGTTCACATTTTAAACCATAAAATGAAAATAAAAACAAAAATAGTTAATGTGATTAGTCTATCTTACAGGAAGTTTCCAAGAATCATGCTGTTTATAAACCACACTTAGAAATATACTTGTGTGAATACTAGTCTGTTTCCACCACGTGGCTCTCACTGTCTCCAAGGACAGCCCAAGATTCCTGTGTCAGCCCTTTAATGACGGCTTTTCAGAATCTCATCCTACTGTTGATTTTCTTAAATCCATGGACTGGCCTTACCTTGGCTAGTGTGGCATAAGCTAGGCCGAGTATTCCATTCCATTTAATCCCAGGCAGAAAGAAGTTCTCTGATTCAAAAATAGTGGCAATGTTGACAAGGAAAGAACTATTGAAGCCTTTGGGGATGGTGACGAGGTCCTCCCCAACAAAGCCCGTCCAGCTGCCCTGTGTGTACTTCACAGTGACATCAAAGCCTTTGGAGCGGTATGTGCTGGACCTGCAGAAAGAAAAGAAAGGCCCATTGTATTATCTTACGTATCCGTGTTCCCTGAACCACGAAGATAAGGTGGCCATGTCCGAGGCAGCTATCCTAACCACAGGAAGTCTAGTCTAAGCCTGTAAGCCATTCTTCATGGTCAATAGCATCGATACTGACAAAGCGATAGTTTGTCAATAACAGATGTCAAAACATAATCACTAATTATGTCAAAAACATAATCACTAATGTTTTAGTAACTGCTTTCCACGCCACGGGAAAGGGAAGCACTGTTGTAAACACGTGGCTCTCGAGTGTATTCTCCCCTATACCCAAGTCCAACTCTGTCAGTCAGGTACTTTGCCTAACTACTACAGCCTCTGAAGGACACTGCCCAATCTGGGCACCTGCCTGGTCCTCCAGCTTTGCAGAGCTGCTGGGCTGCTACTCAGTGACACCGACAGGTGCCAGCACCCCAGAAGGAGGCTCCACCAGCCTGTGCCAGCAGCGGCTGGGGTTCAGGTTCACACATACAATTCCCATGACAAATAATGACCAAGCCCTACTCGCCGAAGCCCAGGTCCTCAATGTCACAGGTTCTGCTCAAGGTTCTCCCCCAATGCCCTGAAGCTGATTATACTCACACCAAAATATGGGCAGTGACGCCAATGGCATGCCAGAACATGAATCACTGTGATGTGACCCAGAGCCTGACACTCACGTGGCCCTGAAGGGAAGAGCTACTGACGCAGGACGACATTCACAAGATGGGAGGAAAATTCTGCCCCCTCAGTTTATGCTGCAGTGAGGAGAGAGAATGCACAGGGGAATGGTGGTTACAGAGAACAAAGCAGACAAGAGGACCACAAGTGACCAGCAGCCGAGAGAACTCTTGGCTCTGACCATGTTTGCATGAGACCTGAATGCAGGCAGCAAGACGTGGGGCTCTCTGGGGGCAGAGCATGGTGGAGAGAGGACAGCAGGCATCAAGGCCCTGGGGTGTCCCACCCTGCAAGGTCATTCCTACGCCCATTGAAGTTTGAAAACTGCTGGAGTATAGAAGGGAACCTAAGACACATCTCTAGGGAAATGTGTGGGAACTCAAACCACGCATCATGATCCTAAGCTAACTCTCAGGTCGCCCAGTAGATCATGCTAAAGTGTTCCTGCTTGCCCGCAGGCTTCATTCCACTGGGCTCTAATAGTAAGTCCACGAACATGAACACATGTTAATAAGTCTTTGCCGTGGGATGTCATGAACTAGTGCAGTCTGGCTTAAGGTCAGTAAAAAAGTTAAGCTCAGAGATGACATGATCGTTTACTTATTTATTCATTTATTTATTATTTCTTTAAGAGATAGGGTCTTGCTCTGTCATCCAGAGTGGAGAACAGTGGCACAATCACGGCTCACTGTAGCCTTGAACTCCTGGGTTCAGGAGACTCTCTCACCTATGCCTACTATAGCTGGGACTATAAGTGCACACCGTCAAGCCCAGTTAATATTTTTCTTTCTTTCTTTTTTCCTTTTCATTTTTTTTTTGGGGGTAGAGACGGGGTCTCATTATATTGCCCAAGCTAGTCTCCAGCTCCTGGGCTAAAGAGATCCTCCTGCTTTAGCCTCCCACAGTGCTGGAATTACAGGAATGAGCCACCATATCTGGCCTTTTATTCATTAATTCATTCTGTTAAAAAGGTTGCTGTTGAGATAGAGTCTTGCTCTGTCACCCAGGCTGGAGTGCGATGGCGCAATCTCAGCTTACTGTAACCTCTACCTCCTGGGTTCAAGCGATTCTCCTGCCTCAGCTTCCCTAATAGCTGGGATTACAGGCGTATGCCACCATGCCCAGCTAATTTTTGTGTTTTTAGTAGAGACTGGGTTTTACCATGTTGGCCAGGCTGGTCTTCAAATCCTGACCTCACGTGATCTGCCTGCTTCAGCCTCCCAAAGTGGTGGGATTACAGGCACACACCACCCTGCCCAGCTCTGGTAGAGTAATTATATCTTTCCCCAACAGTCTAAAGTGCTATGACTTTCTTTTGAAAGTTTAGTGTTACTCTATCCAGGCTATACAAAACTCCATAGAATTTGTACTGTTAGTAGGAACCTGAACCAACCTGCATATCTATTTAGCATGTCTTCTCTAGCCTCCTGCCCAGGTTGCTGGTCCCTCACAGAGGGAGCACTCTGGATATTTTGGTGTCATTTCCAGAGAGACAAGAGGCAGCTGGAGTTATACTGACTGGGCTCAAATATAAGTTCAATCCCTTATTAGCTCTGTGACCCAGGGCCAAGTTATTTACTCTTTCTATGCCTCAGTTTCCTCAACTAAAAAATGATAATATAATATCATTCCTCGAGAAGTTAATTATGCAGATTAAAAGAGTTAATGCTGTAACGCATATAGAACAAAACCTTGGAACACAGCAGATACGCACAAAACAGCTGCTATCGTAATTATCTCATCGCTTGCTACCCTTTTTCAGCCTATGAGTTATTATTAGAAAATTCAAGTGTGTTAGGCCATGTTTCCATTGCTATAAAGGAATACCCAAGGCTGAACAATTCACCGAGAAAAGAGGTATGATTTTGGCTCGTGGTTCTGCGGGCTGTGCAAGAAGCATGGTGCTGGCATCTGCTTCTGTTGAGGCCTCAGGAAGCTTCCACTCAAGATGGGAGGTGAAGGGGTACACAGTACATTACATGGTGAGAGCTGGGACAAGACAGCAAGGAGGAGGTGCCCAGCTCCTTTAAACAACCAGCTCTCATGTGAACTAACAGAGCGAGAAGTCACTCATTGCCTTGTGAGGGCAATAAGCCATTCGTGATCCAAACACTTTCCCCAAGGCCCCATGTCCAACACTGGGTATCACATTTCGACATGAGATTTGGCGGGGACACACATCCAAAGCACACCATCAGGATGTATTCTTTTTGCTGGAATATGCTCCTGGAGAGCTACTCTTACTCCATTGCTCTGCACAATAATTAAACACATGGAGTGAGAACCCTGGATGGGCTTCTCCTTGGCCATGTCCATGCCAGGTGCTCAGAAACCACCATCAATCAGGGACGTGGGCAGCCGGGAAAAAGCCCGCTCACAGTAATAAAAATACTTTGAACCAAATTCAGAAGATGTTCTGCCTCTGATAAGAGTGCTCAGGGAATGCAGGATTAAAAAGCGAAATCAATTGAACTGAGGGGAAAAGAGTGGCAGAACATTTTATTATTTCAAATGAAATCTGCTGTTGTTTGCAGAGAACATGAAAAAAGAAGGTGGATGTGCAGAATTGTAAAGTTCAATCCTTGGGTCAGGTCTGGTTTTCCTAAGCCGCTTGACACAGAGAATGCTGAGTCTCCTAAAGAACTCTGCTCAGGATTCCCCTGGGACTCTCAGGGTCTGGAATCAACCAGTGGGGCTTATTATCCTGGCTCAGGTGACCAGATGTGACTCTGGAAGTCACCAGACTTGAATGCATGAGACCCCTGAGGTTCAGGATAAGCTCAGCCTGCCCAGCCTGGTGATTCATCAACGTCCTCAATAATGTTAAACGCTCCCAGGCTTCAAAACGGCAAGTCCGCTTCTAGCAGGCAAATGATGGGTAGGCTTGAGAAATGATCTCAGTAATCAGGCAAAAAAAATCATGCCTCATTGAATGCAAAGCCATTTGATCTGTATCCAGTTTAGCCTCCTTAAAGAAAGTCGTCAGGTAATTCTTTAATTCCCTAATTCCACTTACAAGCGTTAGCTGAAGAAAATAAATTGGATTTCTTGCTCTGTGAGTTTCACCCCAGATATAGTACAGAAGTGAGGAGATATTTTAATGGAAATATACTTAATTTTCTGAATAGATTCATGGAGGGCCAAGGGATGGGTGTACTGGATCTCTCATCAGGCCAAATAGCTGGAGGTAAGATTTTATTGGCTAAAAAAGATGTACATTTTTAAAAATGCATGATTTTTTCTTTTCTTTCTTTTTTTTTTTTTGCTCTATAGTAACTCACTGGAACATTCGCCACCATGAAAAGATGGATTCTGATCAAGATGAGCTCACAAATGACTAATGGTGGCCTGACATCTCATTCCATAAATCAAAGAGATCTTGTCAAAGAACCCCACGCCACATCTCCAATTACTGTAACATGTTTCAGGAAGCATTAGACCTGAATATCCAAAGACTGAGGACGTGAATCAGAGGCGGACAAACCCAACCAGAAACTTATTATAACTAGGAGAGATCAGAAGCACAAGCAAATACAGACACATCACAGGGCAGAGAGCTGCAGCTCAGAAAAGAAACCTTTGTCAAAAACGGAGAAGGCAAAGGATGGTCTCTCGGCTCTCATGAAATACAATGGTTGAAAGTATAACTTAGGCCAACTCTAAAGTTAGATGAAAGCATTAGACAAATTAACTAAATATAATTGACATTGAAAGAAAATATTCATATCTTTCAACAAAAAAGCATATCAAAAATACTAAAGCATGTAAAAAGCAGATATGAGGAAACAAGATTAATATAAATTTAAGAAAGTATTTAACCTGTAAAGCTAGCATGGTAGCAGGGATGAAGCTGAAGGAACAGAACTTGCCTCTAACTCAGAAGTGGGATGTACCAGATCTGATTCAGCCAAGAGGAAACCTTACAGTTCTGTGGAAGAATGGTCTCTTGAAAAGAAAGGCGGTACCAGGTTAGACTCTCAAAAGGTGAGTGACGTGGCTCACGCCTGTAATCCCAGCACTTTGGGAGGCCGAGGCGGGTGGATCACGAGGTCAAGAGATCAAGACCATCCTGGACAACATGGTGAAACCCCGTCTCTACTAAAAATACAGAAAATTAGCTGGGCTTGGTGGCGCGTGCCTGAATCCCAGCTACTGGGGAGGCTGAGGCAGGAGAATTGCCTGAACCCAGGAGGCAGAGGTTGCGGTGAGCCGAGATCGCGCCATTGCACTCCAGCCTGGGTAACAAGAGTGAAACTCCATCTCAAAATAAATAAAAAGATAGATAAACAAATAAGTCAGTCAGTCAGTCAGCAGTACTTGCAAATAAGGAAGGTAGGCTGAATTTGAATGGTGGAAGTGGCAACGGGGTGAAACGGACCATTAAGGGGCTTTCTGTAGACCTCACTGTGTTCTGTCACTTTTCTTTTTATTTACCCACAAAAGGAGAAACAGACCAGGACCTTGAGTGGTCAGAATGGTGGCAAGGAATCCTGAATTATCTTGTGAGATTAGCAGGAGGGAAGGCTTCATCATCAAAGGAGTTCTGGATGATCCCAGTTTTCACATGAATCACATGCATACGGACGGGAGAAGCTCAAAGTATAGAAAACAGGAACCATCTGCCACTAATACACACCTGGTGGTGGGCACAAAATCCGCATGAATAAACCAAACAGGGCTGGCAGGTGAGTAAGAGAGATGTGTCCCACGGTATTCCGAAAGAGAACCACAGCTAAACCAAACACTGAACGGGGCTGAAGGCAGCTGAGAAAAATGCTGGGTTGTTTACGGTTGATGAAATATTGCACATAGTCTTGATGATGCGGACTATTATTTACCCTTGAATGTTTCCACAACTGCATCTGCATAGCAAAAGGATGTGTGGATTGAGACCTTCAAGGACTCTGGCTATGGGTGGCAGCCACAGAACTGTCATTCACCTGCCAGGAGAAAAGCAGCCATCCACAGGGCTTGAGTGGCATGGTTCACTTTAAATCTGGAAAGTAACTATCCACATCACCCCAACCTTGATTTTACTGTGCTTCGCTGTTTCTTTCTAGTGTATCTTGCATCTACAGATATGAGAGAAAAACCTATTCCAAGGGGAAAAGAACTGCTAACTGAGAAATGCAAGCTCCACGGGTGTTTGTTCTGTCCCCATGCACTGAGCCCCGGCGCTGGGGAACATGGAAAAGGTATAATACAGACTAGAGCTCTGCAGGGGAAACGACACAGGGCTAGAACCATTGAGGGCCTTCAGATAAGCGGTTCTTTCTCAGTGGGGAAAGCCCTATCCCCTAGGGGAAGTTTTGGAAACTCTAGGGGTGTGTTTGATAAGCATGCTGGTTATCCAGGAGTGTGAAGGGCGGGCGTGCAAAATGAAGAATTGCTCCCGACGCACATCACTTTCCAAAGTCGCTCTGGGCATCAGCATGGGTAAATCTGCTGGATAAGGAGCACGAAACGCACCTTCCATTCACCTGTGCACAAAGCCTTCTCTACAAAGGTTCAGTGTACATCGTGGATTTGCTGCCGTGAAAATCCAGGGAAGCTGATTCTTTTTTGTTTGTTTTTCTTGGAACTTTCCTAGGATTCTTTTCCATTTTGGAAAATCATGTCAGCCACTGATATAGTTTGAATATCTGTCCCTTCCACTTCCCATGCTGAAATCTGATCCCCAGTGTAGGAAGTGGGACCTGGTGGAAAGTGTCTGGGTGTGGGGGTCAGATCTCTCAAGAATGGCTTGGTGCCTTGTCCATGGTAATGACTGAGGTCTCGCTCTGCTAGTCCCAGGGAGGGTTGACTGATTGTTAAAAAAGAGCCTGGCACCTCCTTCTCCTACCCTTGCTTCCTCTCTCCCATGTGATCTCTGCACACTGACTCTGCATCCCCTTCCACCATGACTGGAAGCAGCCTGAGGTCCTGCCACCATGCTACAGGCTCAAGGTACAGACTGCAGAACCTTGAGCCCAATGAACCTCTTTTCTTTATAAATTACCCAGCCTTGAGTATTCTTTTATAGCTGTACAACAGACTAAGACAGTAAACTGAGTTGCTCAGGGTGAGAGTCTGTGTCAGCCTGCCTGGATCAGTCTACACTGGGTGTACATGTTGACGGAGAAGTTAACTCACCTCCAGCATCCCCCACTGCACGGACTCCTCTTAGCACCGTGGAGCCAGGGTGTTCATATATTGAAGTATGATTTCCTGGCTATACCTTACTTCCCTTCTATTCCCCTCATATTCCATCAGGGCATTTGGAGCTGTGTATGTAGATAAGTCATATGACCTTTGCAGTCCCTTCAGGGAACGACAAAGCACTTGTTATAAAAAGCAGGTGTTGCCTGAAGGTTTGGGAGCTCCTGGTCTCAAAGCTTGAACTTGGGTAAGCCCCCTGTCTTCCTGACCTCCTGTGCTGGAGGAATAAAAATGAGAGGTTTGGACCAACTCCCAGTCCGGTTCCATGATGAAGCGGTTCGGAGTGAACGGTTAGAGGTGAGGGCTGTTTGGGGACTGAGAACTTGGATGAACCACAGATCTGAGTGGGAAGAGGCCGCATTAGGCATCGTAGACCAAGCCTCTGCTACACACACACAGAGAAACACCACCACTACTTCTACACACGTTTGTGATTATAGCAACAGCTGGGCACATAGTGATCACATGGTGGCCAGTGTTGTATCCGAGAATATCAGTGAAGAAACCTTCCCAGTACAGGAAGTCACAAACTAAGCTATAGGTTCCTGGAGGGAGGGGCCCGCCGCATTCTTCTGAAGCCTCATATAGCACTGGCCACCACAGCCCTCGCCCCAGCAAGTAGCTGCAGCCACACGTGCAGGAGGCCACATCATTTATGGCACCAAAGCAGAGCCCAGGACGCGCAGCGCAGGTAGAACAGATATGTAGGGCTTCCTCTATGCTTTCTTTCCTACACAGCAAGGCATCTTGCTTTATCAAATTGCCTGGCATTTTCAGAAGACTCCAGCTATTCTTTTCCTCTCCTTTTGTCCCCAACTAAAGCTGGCCTTTATTCCCTGGAACAAAACACTGAGGACAAGGAAAGTGAGAAAGGGAAGTTGGGAAAAGGATTTACAGCAGGGAAACCCAATGTGGCAGTTCTGAGCCTGTAGACGGTTCATGACCCTAAAAAACAAACCGGCACATCAGCTTCCCCATTCTGTCTGCTGAGTTGAAGTTTCAGGATTGCAAAAATAGTTGTGACATCGAAATGTGCACATTTCGTGGTGTTAGAGTGCCTTCCAGTTCACAGAGGGCTGACTCTAGACCCCACAGGCTCCTGCAGAGCTGAAGGCTGCCACAGGCTGCCTGGGGCCTCCCACAACCCCAGCCAGGGCTGCTCTGAAGCCTGCATGGACAGGGCTTGTTCTATTCCAGAGACCTCCACCTGGCTCCACTGTTTTTTCTCAACTCCACGCCGTTGATCAGGTGCAGTCCCAGTCTTGGGCCTGAATACTTTGTACTCACGAAACTCACTCTTCCAAATGAGTGTTGCGGACCAACCCACAGAAATGGTTTCCATGAACCACAGCTTAACCCCGACTGAAGTATGCGAAGGCGGGTGTCCATGTATCCCTTCAGCTGTGGAAGCAACCCCATGTCCTTGCCCAGAGGGGCCACATGCTCCCTGCGACGGGGGAACTGTCGACGTGGTGTCTGACTTGGATTTCTCCAAAATGAATCTCATGTAAATGCATGGAAGCTATCAGGAGACTCCTGCTGTGGATTTGTGGATGGAATGAACATGCACGTACGCATACACATAGTCACATGTATGTACATGCACCTGTACATATGCATCCATGTCGGTAACCCCTTAAAATGAAACCGCTTTCTGGCTGTTACGGTCTGCCGCGTTTTAAAGCATGCTGAATATGCGGTGCCCTGGCCCAGCACACCAGCCAAGGGGCCAGCACTTACCTCTCCGTGTCAAAGTACGTGTCAATGTAGGAGTGTGGGGCTCCCGCCACCGCAAAGTTGCTGCTTCCCGTGTCAACGAGAATCTGTAGCTTTTATGTTTTAAGGAGAGAAAAAAAAAAATAGAAAGCATCAGGTTATTTTAATAAGGCAAGATTCTTGAATAATTTTTTTTAACTAAGTACCAAGAAAAATGCAGCAGTTGGAAAAAAAAAAGTACACTGATCAGGGTAATACAAAAAGCAATTATAAAACTGAAATCTGAACAAAGTCCATGAAGAAGTTTGCGGGGTGGGGGGAGGTGCTGGGAATGGTGTTATCTCAGATATACACTGAGCCTTAAAAGAGGATGGGTTCTGGTGGTCACACCACCCTGAATGCGCCTGAGCTCGTCTGTTCTCGAGAATGGATTCTGTTAAACAGCCTGGTTTCCTTTTTAGGCCATTGGTGCTGGAAACCAAGGCTGAGCTCTCTCATCTCTGGGCTCTCAGCCAGGTTTAGCCCTTCACTGGGCTCAGCCTCCTCTTGCTTTTCCAAATCTGGCCTGGAAACCCCGATCCAATGTGGCCTCCCCTCCCCAGGACGCCTCCCAGTCTCCTCCTGGCAGGTGGTGCCCCCTCACCTCCCAGCACGGCACCTGGGAACACCAGTCATCAGCATCGTTTTTTATGTTATTTGAGATATAATCTGCGTATAATAAAAATGCAAGACCTTAAATGTTCGCCTGGTGAGTTTTGGCATGGTATGTCCCACACCAAGATACAGAAACCTCTCTTCACCTCAAAAGGTCCCTTTATGCCCTTTCCCTTCTGGTCCCTAGAAGCAGCCACTTTCTGGCTTTTGTGACCACGGACTGGTTTCATCAGTTCTTGAACATTCTATAAACGTAACCATGTGGGTTTTTGAGAGTTTGTTTTTCTGGCATGGCTTCCTCTGTGCAGCTCGTCTTTGAGACGCCCTCATGCTGCTGCCCTTTGTTTCTCTCCACTGTGGGAAAGTACTCCTCTGCAGGAAGACGCCACGGTTTGCCTCTGCTTCTTCTGACGGGCCCTAGGGTTGTCTCCAGTTTGAGGCTACTATGAGTAAGACAGCTATGGACATGCTGTATAGGTCTTTTTGCAGATGTCTATTTTCATTTCTCTTGAGTAAATACCTAAAAGTGAAACACTCTGGATCACAGGCTAGATACATTTTTAACTTTTTAAAGAAAACTGCTGAACAGGTCTGCAATGTGGATCCACCAAGTTATATTCCCGTGAGCAATGGATCCGTGGGCCATTTGGTTTATCTGCTCCGAATCCTCCCCCAGATTCGGCGTTGCTGGTCTTTTTAATGAGAACCATGCTAATGGGTGTGGAATGGTATCTCACCGTGGTTTTAATCTGCAGTCCCCTAGGGAACCAATGTCATTGGGCTGTTGCCCTGTATCCCACTGTTTCACTCTTTTTCCCCAGTAAACGGTATCTCGGGGCAGGTGTGTGTGTCACTCATCACTTTATGCCCAGCATTTATCCCAAGTCCAGACATGTGCCTGGTTGTTTACAGAATAAACATATGTTTTAGATATAAAAACAGACCACTTAGATATAGCCCAAAAGATTGAAAATCAAGTTTAAAAACCTATCGTGTAAAGAAATCAAAACAGGCAGGATTATCTTCTCAACGGTCATGCTGTTGTTTCTGCCAAGGACCTCAGGTTTGCTGGGTCCAGCGTTTGCCTCTGCGCTGACCATCAGCAGGATCTGACTCAGTCTTGCTCCCTCCTCCTGGAAACGTTCTTCACTTTGGATCCTGGAGCCACACATTTCTGATTTCCTCCTCCTCCGACGCTTCACTTCAGTCTCACTGCTGGGTGCTTCTCATCTTCCTGACCCGCTGACGTTTCCTGGAGATCAGCTCAGTCTGATCTTCCGGGATCACTTCTGGGATCCATCCACACTCACACCCTTGGTGTCCCCACTGAGTCTCGAGGCTTTGAGCACCTTCTGCATGCTGACGACCCCAAGTTTACATCTCAGCCCTGGCACTCACACATGGGCTCTACCTGTTCAACACCTCCCCCTGGCTGGCTAACAGTCATCTTTCATGGGTTGAGATATGTTTTCCAAAAAGAGATGCTGAAGTCTTAACCCCTGCATCTGTGTGCCCGTATTTGGAAAAAAGGTTTTTACAGTCAATCAAGTGAAAATAAGGCCCGCAGGGTGAGCTCTAATCCAGTATCACAGGCACCTTTCCAGGGAGAGGAAACTGCACAGAAAGCAGAAACACAGTGGGGAGCCAAGAGGCAGCAGAGACAGGGATCAGAGTGATGGAGCCACAAGAATGCCAAGGACTGATGACCATGGCCAGGGGCTGGAAGAGGAAGGGATGGCTCCACCTGGAATCTCAGAGGATGCACGGCCCCTCCAACACCTTCATTTCAGACTTCCTGCCTCTAGAACTGTGGAAGAATACATTCCTGGGTTTTGTTTTGAGACAGTGTCTCTCTCACTCTGTCGCCCAGGCTGGAGTGCACTGGCACAGTCACAGCTCACTGCAGCCTCAAACCCCTGGGCTCCAGAGATCCTCCCACCTCAGCCAAGTAGCTGGCACCACAGGCTGGCACCACCACGCCTGCTAATTTATTTTTATTTTAGTAGAGATGGGTTCTCACTGTGTTGCCCAGGCTAGTCTTGAACTACTGGGCTCAAGTGATTCTCTCTCCTAGCCTACCGAAGTGCTGGGATTACAGGTGTCACCCACTGCACCTGGCCCATTCCTACTGTTTTAAGCCCTCCATTTGTGGTACTCGGTTACAGCAGGTCCAGGAAACATCTTGAGGTGGGACATCATCTCAGGCCTGGAATGTCCTGAACTGAACTCCGGCTGCACCCAGCCCTGCTCTCCCGACGGACTTGGCCATCCCAGTTGATGGCAGCTCCATCAGGTCAGGCCAGGCCACTCCGGAGATGATCCCTAGGGCTTCCTTCCCCTCACACCCCACATCCAGCCACCAGGAGGTCCCAAGGGCTCTGCCTTCAGGTTCTAGTCCACACCTACCCACGCCTCACCTCCTCCAAGGAGACTGGTGGGGGAGGTCCACACCACTGTCTTCCCCTCCTTGTCCTCACTGGTGTCCCTGCTTCCTTCCTCCGTCTACTTCCAACTAGCAGCCACCACAGTCCTATGACAGTTAAGTCAAAGGGAGTCAACCCTCCACCTCCCACAGCTCTCATGTCACCCAGAGTAACAGGCAAAGCCCTCAGAATGTCTGCTGAGTCACTCGCCATGCCCTGAACTCGCTCCTCCCAGCCACGCCGACTGCCAGGACACTCCATGAATGCCCTAGATATGCCCTGGAGGCAGGGCCTCTCCCCTGGCCATCTTGCTGGGGTCTGGGGTGGCGGTTCCCCCCAAGGATACCCAGATCCACGTTGCATGACTCATCGTTCCTTCAAGGCTTCGTTCACTGCCACCTTCTCCACGAAGCTGACCAGGCCAGCCCTGTGGGATAACTGCCGTTCTGCTGGCCTGTGCATCCCCTTCCCTTGCCCCCACAACGCCACACCTCTCAGCACCTGCGGCAGGCTGGGCACTGCTGTAAGCACTCCCCATATCCATTAGCCTATTTTAACCTCACAACAGCGCTCCAAGGACAGCATGGTCATCGCTCCATGTCACAGATGGAAACACTGAGGCGCAGAGGGGCTGACCTGCCCAACTACACAACGGTAAGTTGTGGCAGAGCTGAGCTGGGACCTGAAGCCAGGCTTGAGCGCATTCTTGTAACCAGCTCAGCCAGTCTGGGCCCGGGGCAGGATCATACCATTCTCTGGGTCCCGACAGCTCCTGCTGCCTCCACCCCACCAGATGAAGCCTCCCTCTAGCAAGGATTTTTGCTGTTTGCTGCTCTGTCCACCACACATACCTAGAACAGGGCCAGGCACACAGTAGGCATTCACACATGTGTGAAATAAACAACAAAACTATTCTCAAAGGTAAAATCAAAGACACTCATTTTGCTCTTGGTACAAAGATAACAGATTCAAAAAAAAAAAAAAAAAAAAAAAAACCCAGCAAGAATAGTGCAGTCTGTGCACACAAACCTGGCATGTGTAGGTTCTACACACAGTTTTCAAGCCGTTGGCAAAAACAAAGTCAGGTTCTTACTCCCCTAACCTACTAAGTGCCACGTTCCTTCCCCGACAGGAGGCCGTGGAAATAGTGGAGTGAAATGAACGACTGAATGACAGTCCTGGGCATCTGCCAGGTGCAGTGTTATAACACGTGACGTCCCTGTTTTCTCAAAGGAAAATCTACTTTGTGACTTTCGAGAATTCCTTCCTACCACTGACGATCATGTTTACAAAAACTGTGTAGGAATGGTAGAGAAGGATCTGGGACAAAGGTTTGAAGTGAATCTAAGATAACGGCAAAGGCACTCTACTTTTTTTTTAACATACTTTTTTGAGATGGGGGGTCTCACTATGTTGCCCAGACTGGTCTTGAACTCCTGACTTCAAGTGATCCACCCACCTCGGCCTCCCAAAGTACTGGAATTACAGGCATGAGCCACCACAGCCAGCCAGCAAAGGCACTCTAAATAAAGAGACTACAAATGCCACTTTAAACATCTTAGTTTTAGTAAATAAATTCTCTATTCTTAATTTCTATTTACAAATACACAGCTCCTAGAAAATGTGTAAGATCTTGCTCCTTTACAGAGGTGTTTGGGTTGATTTCAGATAGAATGTAATCTCACATATATATATATAAATATATTTCCACATGTATGATACATAATAATTTATTATCTGGCTCTTCATCCACATATTAAATACTCAACAGACCCAAGTGTCAAAGCCACGATTTGGATTAGATTTAACCCTAATTTCTCATAAGCGTCCAAAGGGGCATGAAGGATCGTGAAATACATATTTCGTTTCATCCTCATTTCCTGGCATACAACTCCTAAAATCTCTGGAATCTCCACAGTGATGTGCTTTTGTTTACTGTGAGTTGACTCATGGCTGGCAGCCCCCAGGTAGCTTCGGGATGGGGGCTGGTCACCAGAAAAGAAGAGTAGAGGGTTGAGACTTTCAGCCCCACCCCC